GACCTAGAAACATCCTAAACCTGTAATTTGTTTGTTTGCTGAATTTCATGACTTTGGACAAAACAAATGTCACACGAGCATATCTTCCCTTTCAAGCCAGAGTCTTTCATGTTGCTGGTCAGCAAAACGTTGACATATCATGGGGCTGACCCCTTCCCCCCGCCCCCCAGAAAAAAAAAAAAAGTGGAGTGCTCACTCATGTATTTTACATCCCAGTCACATATCAAGATCTTCCCTTGGCTTCATTTCCACTAGTGTCGTTTACGCAAGGCAAAATCCTCCCTGGTGCTCATGTGGTCCCAGAGGGTGGAAGCTACCCTCCAACTCTGCCTGCCGAGCCCCTGTGGCAAGCTACAGCTCGGCTCGGAAGCAATGCCGGTCCACCTGTATCAGCTGCTCCCTCCTGCAAACTGCCACCGATTTGTCATCTCCGCCCCATTTCATGCCCTTGAGGATGCCTGTTATGGCCACCTATTCTCACAGCTGAGTTCAACTCAATCTCTCTCTCTCTCTCCCTCCCTCTCTTCTTAAAGCACCTTCTATTTAATAATTAGTGCTTTCCATTCCATAATTGGCACTAATTAGCCAGAGGGTGAGAAGCATGCCCTTCCCCAGGGCTCCATGATCTCTGGGGCTCCTTTCTTTTTTCTTTCCTTTTTTTTTTTATTTCTCCTTTCTTTTTAACATGCCACACAATTTTGTTCAGGAGCTGATGTGTGATATTGATCTACATAATGAGCGCTTTTGACAGTCTGGGCACATTTGGGAATAATTTTATGAGCATATGAAAAGCTTAGGCCAGAACTGCTCGTTCTAAGCTGCTTCCAAATGAAGCCACAATTGTTCAGAAGTGACAGATGAGCAATAGTTCAGGAGCTGGAAATTACATGAGTTGGGAACAGATTTTTCTTCTTCCTTTCCGGATGACATGTGACTCATTTAGGATTTGCTTGATGATTTTCTACTTGTCTCAAAACAGACTGTAAATACCAGTTTCCAGTGAAGAGGGTGAGGTATGAAACCTTTGTGGCCTGTAACGTGGTAGGAACTCCTTCTTCCTGGGATAAATGGGATGTTTTCTGTGTTTGTTCCTTTTCCGGATCCTGATGAGCTCCTAAGCCCCCTGATCTCTTGTGGCAGAGGGTTCTACAGGCTTTATATCATGCAGAAAATACCAGTTTTGATGGCTTTTCTTGTCTCTTGGTTTTGCTGCCCACCTTCCTCCTTAGCCAGAGGAGTCGAGAGCTGCATTGCCCAAAGGTCTCTGCCGTTTTTATGGCCTCAGCTACCCACCAGCTGGGATGCTCTGTGCCCGCTGCTGGGGTTGTGGTGTTTGGGGGAACTGAATGCCTTTGCTATAAAGAGATTTGTGTTCTGGGGTTATTGTGTGTATTTTGCAGCACGTAGTGAGCTGTAGTAATTGTCGACTCTACTCGCGCTGTTTCCGTTTTTAATTTGCGAAGACTCCCCAGGGACTGGGAGCTGAGTGACGCAGAACGTGCTGTATGGTTAGCAAGGAACCTGCAGCTGTATGAGCTTACGCTGTGAATTCGGCCAACGTTTGCAAACGGAACAACGTGTGCTGTGGTCAGGAGCTCTTGGAGAGACCTCCCAGGAAATCCCGAGTGCTGGCAGCAGTAACGTGCGTTCAACGTGAAGCTCTCCTCCCTCCAGCAACTTGCCCGTTGAGGCAGCCGTGCTGGTTCTGTGCGCTTGATTTGAGCACGCACGTGAAATCTGGCGCATCCCGAGAGCATCAGATTTATTGTATGAGCAGTGAGCAGTGAATCAGCGTTTGTACAGTAAGTCCTCAGGAAGAAAGCAACTTGGCCCGGTGCTTTGAAAGTCATATAAACCCAAGTCTTGCTCAGAGAAACATTCATGGCCATTTTCATGAGGGTGAAGGTGTCTTGGTGTCATGAGGTTCACGAGGTGTGGAAGTGTCTTCAGGAGGCTGCATAAGTGTCTTTCTGTGCCTTTTCTGTGCTTGTGGAACATGCCTTTTATTTCTGTCCCCTGTAAAGATATGGTTTGGTAAGCACCTGCCCTGTTCTGCACCAGAGAAGGTGGCTTTTCAGTGACATGCAGGGAATGTCCTGTATGTTGGTAGGAAACAAAGTTGACTATCTTTGCAAAGGAGCTTTATGGTATTCTGGGATCAACGCGCTGGTGGTGCATGTGAGAGCATCAGCTTGAATATCATTAGAGCTGCCCTTACTAATAATGCTGCATTTGGGGTTTTGTCAGCTTTTCTTAATTTAGATGCACAATTGTCAATTGGTTTGGATGGCAGCTGTTGAATTCCTTATGTATTCATTCACTGGTTAAAGAACAACTGCAGGATTTGCTAAAGGCTCTTATTGTCTCTTCAGATCAGAAGAGGTGAGAGTGGTTTGAGTTCCGTCTCTTACCTCGCTTGAAGTAAGTGTAAGAGTGTGTGTGTATGTTTGCGGGGGGGCTGTGTTCGCATATGTTGGTTTTGGGAAGAGGAGATGGGGTTATTGGTAGGCACGGTAGAGAGGATCTGTTTTTGTTTTGCAGCAGAACCCTTAATTCTGTGATCATCTGTGCACTGAATAAGACCATCCTAATAGGGTTTGTAAAATAAGCCCCTGGATAATGGCTTCTTATGCTGCTAGCTATAATCTGCATGAACATATTTAGCCCTTCCTGTCTAAATAGCGCTAGAAGACCAACTGGTTCAGCTTCCAGAACAGACATCTAATGGTTATCATTATCTAAATTGTGTTTTGGATAGGATCTGTGCAGATGAGGAGCTCAACTGCGCCTCATTTCCATTTCAGGTGCAAAAGCTGGGTCTGTGCTGCATCTGAGTACGTCTTGAGTGCGTCCCTACTCATGGAATGCATGGGATGGGCAAGTGCCTGGTGTGGGGGTCTTCGGTGTACTGTGAGAACAAAAGAGTGACCTGGGTCGGACCAAGAATCCTTCTTTTCTGTCTATCTGTATGTATGTGTGCATGTCCTGTCTTCTAAAGCCGTATTTTCCCAAAACATTATCACTGCTTTCAGGACTCAATTTTCCTAACCTCGAGTTGGTATCTTTGTGTTTACAGATGTCTGCCCCATGGAGCTGTTACGTGACCAGTGTCAGGCAGATCAGTTGCTGAGAAAACTCCTTAGAAAACTGCAGAATTAAGGGCAGGGAATGAACTGCATGACCTTTGGAAGTCTCCCCCAGCCTGTGACTCGCAGGTCACATGCTGGGCCATCTGAGATAGCTATATTCCTGGACTATAAGCTGGAGGCCAGCATACCCTGGGCTTTCTAGATGATTAGGTAGCTGAATGAAGCCCTGAGACCTGATGATCTAATTTGGTATCTGCATCTGTTGGTATTTTCACAGCCTTCTTTGCTTTCTCTGCTCTGTATTTTGGCTATAGCAATCAAGACTATGTTTTAAATCCACATACAGAACACTTAGTGATTCACTCGTGTTCTCTATCTAAAGGTTCGGCATCTTGGCTGAGATATCCACTAGATTCCTAGAATCAGGCGAGGGAGATTTTCACCTCCTGAGGATAGCTTGTGTTAAAACATCATAAAGTCCCAATGTCCTCTGTAGAGACCTTTAGATCTCATGCTAGCTTGCTAATGAGGTTGGCAAGGGGTTTGTCCACCAAGAAGCACCCTTGTGGATGGGTTGGCCCCCAAGGCTGGGGGGGGGCAGGTGGTGTGAGCCTATGGGCCGGTCCCGTTGGGTTTGCCCTGTGGCAGGGAGACAGGGGACACGAGGGAGCTGCTCAATTCACAGCTCTCTACGGAGAGGCAGCTCAGCAGACAAGGATATGATTTGGGAGCAGAAGGGCCAATGTCTGGTCAAAGCAAACCTGGGTTTGTGCCTTTTGTAATGGCAGAGGAGTGTCTCTGGGTGCAGGGGGGACTGCTCTGACTGAGCCTGCGGATAAAGCTGTTGTCACCAGTGAATGCGGCAGGTTGTGTGTAGGGGATTTGTACTTCCTTTCCTTGGAGGTGATACTGTTACTGCCATGGGCCTCAAGGTCCGTGCTAGGCATTAAGGTCAGCCTGAGAATACCACGATTCAGACATGCATGGTTTCTTCCATGGTTTCCAGCCAACTGGCTGATGTAGCAAATGTTTCATTGCTTTGCAGGATTTTTCCCTTTTTCTCTCTTTCTAATGCATTTTTAACAACCACGGATTTTAAAAATAGATTCTGATGTGATCTCTGGTTCTTTTCCACATGCAAACCTCCTCCCTGACCCTTATACTCACGATGTTGAGTCAACATCATCTTTACTGCAGTGCTGTTTCTGGGGCAGCTAACCTCAAGGGCAAATATGTGCTTTATTAGTTTTTTCTCTTGTGCTTTCCATATCTTTGGTTTTAAGGAGGAGGATAAACAAAGCCCTTCGATGGAAGAGTATTACCGTTGTAAAGGACCTTTTTACGCTCATGCACGCTCTTCATGGAGCTCAAATGCAATCGGTGTTGTACAGTCAGTATTGGTGGTAACTCTGCAAAGATGCGTCAAGGTCACTGCAAATCTGAGACAGAAGAGATGGCATTGGAGCCTACGTCTGCTGTGGCTGGAAAAAATCCTTGTTTATGCTGGTCTAGGGCTGCACGTGGCAGTTTCTGAATGGAGTCGTTCTTAGAGCCTGATCCTGTGTTCTTACGTTGCTCCCACCGTAAGCTGTTGTGAAGGAAATGCCCTCGCAGTTATTGGAAAGTATAGGGCTTGTTTTCTGGTCAATTGTTTGAAGTGTTGGAAACACAGGAGCATAACAAAAAGCATCCTGCCAGCAGTAACCAGTAGACTTTGGCTGCTCTTTTTCTAACCTGGCTTCTTTTTATAATTAGTGGATTTGTAGAAAGTAAAAATAGATGCTCATGCTTATCCCTCAAGGAAGGCTGGAGCGTCTGCGTGGGTGTGCGACAGAGAGGTGTTGCTTGGGAGGCTTGACAATTCAGAGGATGAGGAATTAATTGCTATCTTTTTTTTTTTTTTCCCCTCAGGCCCCCTCCATTCTCACTTTCTTACCTGGAGTGATGGAAAACTCGTCTGTGGCGTCTGCCTCCTCTGAGGCAGGGAGTAGCCGTTCTCAGGAAATTGAGGAGCTGGAGAGATTCATTGACAGCTACGTCCTGGAGTACCAAGTCCAAGGCTTGCTGACCGATAAAACGGAGGGGGACGGCGAGAGTGAGAAGACGCAGTCCAACATCTCACAGGTTAGTGAAGGATGCGGTTTAAAACGGAATGCAAAATGAGGGCACTGGGGTTATAGGGAAGCCAGTGATTTGTGCAAACGGCTTGTTGCCTCCGTTAGGGAAGCAGGTTCAGCTAAAGTGACTTTGCTTTTATAGGAGTGTGAAGCAGGGCAGAACAGCATATTGGATTTTTGGGCAGCTTTCTTGTTCAGCCAGATATGAGGACTCAAAGTGGTTAGCAAAGATCTCCTGCCAACCGCATTTGATTTTTTTTCCATTAAGTGGTCTAGAGATGTGCCCTGAAGTTTGGACTTCTCCGGGATTCCTGTTTCAAATAAAGGAAAACAAGACATGGCTGTAATGCATGGCTGTCCCACGCTGTCCTCCTGGGGGTGTGCGGTGACAGCCAGGAGTACGTGTGCAAGCACCGTGGGATGCAGGAAGGGGCCAAGAGAGCAGAACCCGTCTCTCTGCCTCTGGTCAACCCGGTGGTGCTTCACCAGAAAAATGCCAGAGGACTGTTTTGCCTGGCCTGAGATAAGTTGCAGAGACTCTAGCTGAGGAGTATCCAGTACCAAGAAGGGCTTCTGCAGTCCTAGTGTACTGCTTCCATCCATATACAGAAGCCTTCAGGGATTTTAATGAAAAGACTGAATGAATAAAAGCAGTTGAAAGCCCCAAACGCTCCCTAACAGCATTTAACTGCTGCGCATTTCGATATATTTAATAACCTATTTGCTTGCTTCATAATTGTTATGTCAGAAAAGAAAATTGCGCTGTTACAGAGGGTGCAAATACCAAGAAAACAGAGGGATGGTTTAGGGAAGGTGTGGTTTGGTGTTGTCATTAGAAACAGCTCTAACAGGGATCACGTCATTTTTCAAAATGGACATTGAGGTCCAAGGCAAGGAGGAATTTCATCTCCTGGACCGTTACTGTTCTGAGGGAAATCCTGTGAGTCTGGTGCCATGGGTACCAGACACTTGCCGAAGATGTGAACTGGCAAACTGCAGTGTAGATAAGCTTGTACAGGGTGAGCTGTGAGCATTAGCCCATGCCATTTCATAGATGTGGAGCCTGACCTCAGTCTGCCTTGATCCTCCATTTATAGCGTGAGGCTAACAGAGGTGCTTTCCTACCTTGCAGGCTTCTTGGTAGAATAAAGTGCTTGGGTGATAGAGCACTTGCACACTGGTTATGGGGACCAAATAATAAAACAAGCCATTGCCTTGAAGATCCTAAGAGCAAGGGTATGGACATCATTAGATATCTGAAACTGGAAATGCGTTTAAGCTGCGCCAGATACCGCTCTGACCCCAGCAGCGGAGCAGGGACTGTCTCGTGTAAGGTCCTGCGCAAGCACCGGTGAAAGACTGGTCCCCTGCAAAGGGAACCCTTTTTGGGGAGTTTGCCAAACCCTGACTGTGGCTGCGATGTGGACGATGCTCAGCTGTCACGTTGCAAACCTGGGTCCTTGGACGGGTATGGTGGGCACTGGGGAAAGCTGTCTGGGGATGCAGGCGTCACGCAAGTGTCACAGGGCTGTTCCCCGGCCAACGTGGGCTGAAGGTACGTGGAAAACATTTGCTTGGGTCCCAATGGCCGCGGCCCTGAGTCCTTGGTGGGCCTTTGTCACAGGCCGGATGATGGCAAGTCGGCACTGCTGAGTCCCTCCCTCCCCTGCTTGTGGCACTTGGCTAATGAAGCAGTATCCGTTAAGGCTTGTCAGTGCTTCTGAAAAAGCACGGGAGATTTTTAATAATGGATGGGATACCGATTCCTGGGGGAGAAGTGAATCGTTTCCCTTTGCCCAGGGATTCGGTCCAGAGGGGGCTCTGGCTGGGGCTTTGCAACGCTTTTTAATCATCAAATGCTGCCTGGCTAATTAGGCTGCAGCAGCAAAGCTCAGTCTGCAGGCGGCTCGTGGAGAGGGGGAAGGAGATGGGGGAGAAGGTGCCGGTCCGTGGGAGGAGAGCGGGACTGCCCTGGGAGCCGTTCCCAAGCCAGGCTTGTGGATTCAGTGGCTGCGCATGGCATTTGTGGCCTTGGCAGACCTCTTTCCTCATGCCGGTATTCCTGGGACCGTTGCTCCGCAGTCAACTGGGCTGCGTCCGTAGCTCTCTTGGCGATCGCTTGTGACCAAGGGCCAGGCAAGGACACGTGGTCCCGTCTCCATCCGATCAACCCCAGCTCACAATGCAGAGTTTTACCGGCTTTATGCCGCTGCAAGGGTTGGGCGAGACCTCCGCTAGCCCAAAGCTAGAGCAGCGCGATCGCTGGGCAGCCCTGCAGCAAGCCTGCCCGGCTGCACTCGACCCAGCAAGAAGACCTTAGTGGAGAGGGTTTGCACTGAATCAGTACTTACCACCTCGTTGCTGTGGCTTCGTTCATGCAGTGCTCGGATCCCTCAAGACGGACCGACTCTGTTGTGAAGCCGGGCTTGGTGTCCGCAATGGGAGCGGAGCTGGGTAAACCCCATCAGGGTAATGGCTGGATGGCTTCGTTGCTTCCTGGCTTGTTTCTGAAACATCTGAGTGATGAATCCTGCCAAAAGCCATGCTGTTTCTGTACAGGCTACAAGCCAACTGAAAACGTCGCGGTACGAAGGCTGCGTTTGCAGTTTATGAAAAACGTGTAGCGTTGTGCAGCAGGAAGCGGAGAAATCCAGTTTCTGTCTTGTTTTCTTGTATTTTTGGGTTTTTTTTTTCCAGGTTGTTTTCTTTCTCATTTCATGCTCAGGCCTATTGATTGCTCACAAATGAAGCCCTGCTGCTGTTTCAGCTGTAAATTGGGAGCAGCGGTTGGCATAGCAAGTGAAAGCCTCTTTTCCGTGAACTGCAGGAAGGGCTCAGTTCTCCCTTCCACTGCACTGTATTTCCGAGTTCAATTGCACTGCAGATCATAAAAGCAAATGTCCTGTGGTCTGTCGGAGAGAAACTTGCTTGAAAGAGAGATATGAACGATCCTGTCCTTATCTGATGCAAGTAGCACTTTCTTGATTTATCTGAGCTCTGCAGATTTGCTGTAGCTGACGATCTGATCCAGCGCTTTGGACCCTTTATATATTAACTCTGCCTAAAGAAATTAACCCTAAAAGGAACTTTTTTTTTTTCTTGAATAAATTTTGCTATAAAGAGGTCTTTACAAATTGAGGATCCAAGCCATTAGATGTGGGAGAAAATGCATTTAAAAATCAAGTGATCCAAAGTACTTCATAGTGCCATTTTTAAGCTCAGACTGGAAAATGGCTGTGTTTGAAGTGATGCTTTGGAGGGGCTTCAGGTCAAACAGGCAAGTACTGCTTGCTTTAATATGCCAAGTTTAGAAATGCTATTGAATTAGAAATAAATTAGTAGTCTAAGTTCTACAACCGCTTCACGGCTCAGAAGAGGCTTAATTCTGGATGGTACACAAATATTCATCCTGATTTCCCCCCTTCCATTAAAGGAAAGGATAAATGAAATCTGGTGTTCACTGCAAAGTTATCACACTGACCTGAGGGCAGTCAGCCGAGGGCAGTCTGTCCAAACCTTTGCCGCCAACCCTGGGCTCCCCATGGCATCTCCGGCACAAAAGCTGTTAGTTTTCATGACAGCCCATTTACAGTTTCCGCATTGAGATCCCTGGTTGCCACAACTAAATCCATCTTCTGTTTGTGGAAATGGAATTTTAACTTTCCGTGTTCAAAGGGAGCTGCTGAATTTTTTTTACATCAAATCTAGGGGTAGGGTCTCTGAAATAAAACCTGAGTGTCTTGGGGGCAGCGAGGGGGGGAAAGGACTAATGATGAAAGAGCTGAACATCCAGCCTTTTAATTAAACCATTTTTAAAGGCATCTCAAGTTAAGCAGCTAAATGTGCTTAACACCACCTCATTGGTGTCTACTTGGAAGTGGGAATTTTAGGTGAAATTCCAGCCAAATGCAGCATTTTAGGGCTGCGCATGGGGCAAGAAGCGAGGCAGAGACGTTCCATAAGTCATCTGTGTTTATCAAGTTGTCTTAAGGAATGCATCAAGGATGATGCATATTCTCTGGAAAGCATACTTGTGTTCCTACCTCTTACCCCAAATTTGCCTAAGAAATAATCAGAAATAATGTATTACTGGTTTTCTTTTTCCAGTCGCTTCTTATCAAAGCAAAAAATAAACATGCATGTATCCTGCTGCTCACTGGAGCTGCTGGGTGGGAAGCTGGCTCAGACTCTTAAATTGATTTGAAGGTAGCACGTTTGCTTTTAATGAGAGCTGGAGGAAGAAGGATGGTTTTATGGCTAAGGCACTGGACTGAGACAAAGAAAATTGTTTTTAACTGCAAGGTTCTGCCAGTAACTTAATCTTTAACTTTGGGCAAGTTACTTAATCTCTCTGTGGCTCGCTTCCTTGCGGCTATAATAATGCTTTCGCTATCTGAGAGAGGATAAATCCACTCAACCATGTATATGAGATGCTCAGCCGGTACAGCATCCCGGGAAAAAAACTGCTGCCCTGAGAAAGGAAGGGCATGTTGTATTGTCCTGTATACTGCAAGCCACTTGCAGGGAAATTGAGTCTATAGCCAATCTAATGAAGGCTATACCTATACGTGGAGATACCCACGTTCCCATCACGTGGGTATCTCCAACCTTGCTCCCATGAGAAAAGAGAGTAAAGTCAGGAGAAAAATGCCCTTTCCTCTCAATTCTGTACGGCAGTGGAGGCTGTTAACGTAATGGGTGAGCCGTTCCCGTCTGTCGAGAAGCTCTCAGTTAGCTGCTGTTTATATGGAATTGATTTTTTTTTTTTCCTTTTTTCTCAGTGTCTCAGCCCTTGTAATGTCACCCAAGCAGCAAGTGTCTCAGCCCTTGTAATGTCACCCAGCAGCAGCAGCTGCTCTCTCTGCAATGCTTACTCAGTCAGGCAGTTCCAGGACGAAAGAGCTCAGAAATGGGACTGGTTGAAAATGTTCAGTCTCAACTTTGGGGGACACCAAAAAATTGACTTTGGATTAGATGATATCTTTCATGTTTGTGTTGTGAAAAAGGCTTAATTTTTTTTTTCAGCATGATATATTGCCCCTTTTATTAGGAAAAAACCCGAAATGATCCCTAGCGGAATTATTTTGGTACAAGCACCTCACTGTCAAACTTTGGAGGAAGTCGTAGTCATTGCATGGTTGCTGTCCTCTTCAGTGTGCTGTGCTGGCCCGCTAGGCTCGAGAGCGTATGATCCCTTATGGTTGGAAAGCCCCATGACGTTCACCTCCTTCATCATGAGGAAAAGCCAGTGTGGACTGGAGAGATGGAATCGAATCAGATAGAATATGCAATTTTGGGCTATGATTTTGTTTTTTTTTTTTTTTTAAAAAAAAAAAACTTTTGTGGAAATGATCTCTCCATCTTTAGTAAAATTATCTGTAGGTGGTTAGCCAAAGAGATGGGGAGGATCTGTGTCCTTGCCTCTTCTGCTGCACGATCCTGGGTGGTCGTATTGAGCTGATATTGTGGCAGCTCTGGACTAATATGTGTTATTAAGCTAAACAGGGTGGGGAGAAGCAGAAGCTGTGTAAGGCTCCATGGGAAACAGTAATCAAGACAAGTTGGGTCTGGGACGTAGTGAGCTGGCCGTGCCATCCCTAATACACCAAAAACGCTACTGGAGCCTGCAAGGAAATACTGAGGATGTTTGTTTAACAAAGTTTCCTTATGCCTGCTCCTCTGGGCATGAAAGACGCTGTTGTAGGCGGCGTTTGTGCCGGGAAGCTTCTCCCTGGACGTATCCATGTGGACACGTGAGGCTTTCGGCGGCGACAGCTTCTTTTTCAATTTCTTGCAATTGTTCATGAATCTTCCCTCTCACCATCTACTGCTGGACCATGTCGGGGCCAAAACCTTTGAGATCTTCCCTCCTTTCCAGTGGGGGCCCTGTTCGGTGATTCCCGTGGCCTCGGAGAGCAGCTGGCCGGTGTTTGCTGTGTGCTGTGGACTGACTCAGCAGCGTCCCCGACCCAGGTATTATTTTACACAATGCCTTTCTATCCCTTTTGCAGTGGACGGCGGATTGTAGTGAGCAGCTTGATGGCAGCTGTTCCCCATCGAGAGGGAAGGGCTCGTCGGCTCACGAACACAATCAGGTAGGGGTTGTGTTTAGCTCTTCCTCACCAAAGCCTTGCTTTTATCTCTTTACTGTGTCATCTAGGAGCATGGAGGCTTTCTGTGCCGTCAGCGTTCCCTCTCCGAGAAAGAGATGTGCCGGGTGTTGCAGCAATGCCTTCTAAAGGAGGCCCAGCAGGGATATTTAGGCTTAGTGAAAACCAAGTGTGGAGATTCTTGATTTGCACTCTTGAGAAGCAGGACTTTTGGGTGGTAATGACTTGGACATCACTATGCTTTCATCTTTTTGCTTTCGTGCACCTTTTTTTCTTGTGGTTTTTGTACCACTTAGCCTTTGTTTATTGATACCTCATCAAGCCCCAACAGGAAACTTTGCTAGATTGCTAGTGCTCTGAGTGCTAGAAAATAGGGAGGAGAAATATTTATTGAGCTACCAGACCCATTTCAGAGCTGAGGTGCTTCGCCTGGTGTGAAGGGAAGCTGGGGCACAAGGAACAGATTTATGTCCCGGTACGTGTCCTGAGTTCACGTTCTGCTTCACTGTCCTTCCTGAGTTGCAGTCCGATGCAAATATGCGACAAGAGACCTTGTCCTTTTAGTCATCATGGAAAGCTCACCCCTGCTGAAGCCATGGGAGATGAAGAACTTCCTGTCATGCACATCACTTTGACCAGAAGCTTATTAAATATAGGAATTTAGGAACAAAGGAACAGAAGCGCAGGAACAGAAGGAATAAAGGAACAGAAACGCAGAATATTCCATTTATTCCTGAAGAGCTTATTACAACCTTTGTGAGGGAGCAATTTGCAGCATCAAAGCGGAGTTGGAAGCATGAGACATGGCTGAGATAAGGGAGCTCCGAGTAGTTACGTGTCTAAGTTATGTGCCTGCTGGGATATTAGCTACAATACAAGGGTGGTGTTGCAGGCAAGAGGATTAAAGAGCTGAGAGGGCTGACTGAGAGAAGAAGCAAAACTGCAAATCCTGAGAGCCAATGTTGAGCTTGCAATGATAGCCCTAGTGGAAGCTTAAGTGTGAGTTATTTTTGGTAATTGCATGTGATGCAAACATCAATGAAGAGTATCTACCAAGTACTCCTGGCATCACTGGAGATGGATTTTCCTCCTCAGCACCAGCACCACTTTGGGAGAGGACTGGCAAGGGAAAAGGTATGGATTTGACAGTTGTCACGTGGCTCAGGAGCTGCCATGCCACAGCGAGACCATCAGCCCTTTCACTGTAAAGGCAGTGAAGGCAGTGTTCCCCAGAGGAGATAGGAGGCTGAGCCAGCTGGAGGGAGAGCGGGAATCCTGTGAGTCACCCGGAGACGGCAGGCTGTCTCCTTCCAGAAAAAGGTCTGGCAACCAGAGGGAGGGGACCGGCATTTCTTTTAACGTTGCCCTCTTAACTGCGCTCTGTCGTCATCAGCTGCTGCCTCCAAACCTGAAAAGCAGATTATTTGTCTTAAAAGTATGAGCTCCTCACAGGACTGGAAGAATTTAACCTACAGCATGACATAAAACAAGTGAGGAGAGTAAAAACCTGTAGGATAATACCAGCTTTCTTAATTCCTAATTGTGGAGCTGTTTTTATGCCAGCGATTGTCTGGTGGGTCCCGTGCTATGGGCTGGAGCTTCCTGGCTTGCGAGTCTTGCGGTCTAGCCCTGGGACACTCCTGGGCTCTGTTTCCAGCCCCAGGGAGGGGACCAAGGAGGAGCTGAAACAGAGATGCTAACAAAGGCCCTTCCCATCCCAAGGAAGATGGGAAGAAAGCCACAGCTGAGTGATGAATGTGGTGAAGACTTAAGGAGGTACTGCAGTTAGGAAAGAGAAAGCAAAGAGATGTGAGAGCTATGGGGAGTGCTAGTAAATCTGTGCAGAGAGAAAGGAAGGGAGAGTTGGGAGAAAAGAGGAAATAAGAGCAGAGTGAACTTGTTCTAGTTACAATTTCTTGCTGCACTAAGAATGAGTAAAGCGATATTCGCAAGTGCAGTTTCCACAGTTGCTGGATGCATCTCCTAGGGCAGGTGCTTAAGGCAAGTGATTTCTGTACTCTTCCCCTGCTTGCTCTCCTCCAATTCTCAGTCTCGTGCACGGAGTCTCATGCAAAAGCGTCCAAGAGCCCCTTCCCCAAAGAGCAAGCGGAGAGCCTGGGTGTGCGGGAACCTGCAGCTTCACAGCAACCTGTATCCGGTTTCCATTCCCTGCTCCGGGCACAGCTTTTCCCAAGCAGATTCCCGTCCAAGTGAAGAGCACTGAAAATTGCTCAGCTGTGGGACAGAAATTCAGATTTCTCTTCCATGCTTTGTACCTTGATATGAAGGAGCTGAGAACCCTCAGAAAAGGGAGATAAATATATACGAACACTTGTGCATAACAGAGACAAGATGCAGAGATTTTATCATCTTGGAAGTTGCACGTTGTACAAAGACGCTACTTCAACTGAGCCTCCGAAGGTGGCAAGCCTAATTGTGGATTCAATTTATTACAGCTTTGATCTGCCGTCTTCTGGCCGCTCGGAACTATTCAGTAGCAAATCCTCAGTGTGTTTGCCTCCCCCCCAGTCCGTGTCGCCTCCTGCATGCTAACTTGGCCGGCTGCTTGAAATTCAGATCGGAGCCTCGCGGTTTCCGTAAGCCTCCGTGGGTCACTCAGGATATTAGCAGGATTGTGGGGGTTTTTGTTTCTTGGGTTTTTTTTTTTTTTCCCCCTCCTATTGAAGAATGTCTCAGGTTAGTCTCCCGAGCCAGAAGCAGCCAAGCAGCAATTGGCTTGCGGGGCTCAGCTGATGTGCTGACACGAAGGTCTCCCGGTGGATTTATGCCGCGGGAGAAGGCGGAGGTCAAGCATCAGTGATGCATTTCTGACTCAGATCGACGCAGACCTGACATCTTTCATCTGCCTTGCGCTTGATTTTTTTTTTTTTTTTTTTTTTCCCCCCCCCAATTCCGTCTGAACCTTTTTGATCTCCTCCAATGGGGAGCTTTTTTTGTATATACAAATACCATTCACATATGTCCAAGCTGTGCTTTCTGATCTGTTTTCCCAGCATTTGGGTTCTCTCCTAGCCTGTAGCAGAGCTAATAATTAGCTCTTTCCACGTTTGACTTCCTTGAACAGCGAGTTACAAATTTTCCTTGGCACCAAAGGGGAGCTGCAAGCTATTGTTCTTCTGCCCAGTCAACATTTCACTTTCCGTTACTGATATACGACTGAAACACTGCTGGGGAGAATTAGGTTCAGTTTATTATTGTTTCAGGCTGTTGATTTTTGACTGGTAGCTTTAAACATAAAAAATAATGCATTAATAAGGTATTTATCATATATGTAAATTACCAGTCGCTGTTCAAACCTGCTAGGGGAAAAAAGGCTCGTTAATTATTTCCCAAGGGATGTTGTTAAGTTTTTCTGTTGCAAATTTAATGGATTTTGAGAGGTTTTGTTGGAAAAAGGAATTTTCCATCTTCATATTTTATTTCCCGTTGAAGTTTCTATATTGCCAGTTGTGCAAGAAGTGCCAGTTTGCATCGGAGTATTTCTCAGCTAAAATATTTACTGGCTTCAGCTTCTGTGAAACCATGGGTTGCATATCACTCTCTGCACTGACCATGATATTCCTCGCACTGGAGATGAGGAAGGGCATCCTCTATGGAGAGCTGTGAGAGTCCTTCCATTTACGATGGAGACCTGTGAAATCACAAATGCCAAGGGAGGAGGGCAATAGGGAGCAATTTTCAGTTGTTTCTTGCAACACGAGAATTGGGGCATACTCCATGGAATTGTCTGGTAGCAAGGTTAAGGCAAACGAAAGGAAGATTTTCTTTTCTCAGCAGGGTAAAGGTACATTATGTATTTATATAGGCATTCATATATATTTTCAATGTATGTGTATGTAAGCATCCACAGGATGTTGTGCATGTGAATTCACAAGAGGATGATAGGAATTCCTGGATAATATGCCCGTTTATGGGTAATAGTATGTCTTGATGCAACCTCCAGTCTAGGGTGTTGTTATATTGCTGTTTTTCCTTGGGGTCTCGGGTGTCTCCGGGAAAGATCACCCCATACTTGCCCTGTTTCTTATGCTCCTTGGTTAGATATCTGCTGTTAGCCACTGCATGAGACTGCACTGGAGTCGGTGCCCATAGGGCAGCACTCTGCAGTTTGCGTAGCCTGTGCAAAATAGTTGTTCATAAACGGACAAAATTTTCCCTGGAAAACTTTTACTCTCATCTTTCCAGTTCTGTGGAGAGGTGACTATGAGAAGACGATTTGTGGGGAAGAAAGGCTCAAACTGGTTACTTGTGGTCATAGAAGATCTCATGACACACATGTCATGAGAAAAATCCCAATCATATAATTGCATTCTGCTCATCTACAACTCTTCTTGTTTCCCAGCGTGAGCAGTAGCATCTTTCGTTTGCTGCATAACACTGTTGTGCTCTGCTAAGCCTCCCTGCGTTTGAGTGGTGGGCTGAGTGCTCCCCTTAAAAAAGTCCATTAGTGTGATGTGAGCCTCTGGGGTGAAAACTACTCCCATCGATGCATGTAAGATGCTGTCTGTGCACCATAATGCCCATATAAATGAGGAAAGTTTAGATAATGGAATCATTTTTAATCTTTTTATGTTTGAATTTTTTTTTCTAAAAAGACCCAGTGGGAAAGCAGGAAAATTATTATATAATACTTTATTTGCATTCCCCTTGTGAGACTGTTGCAAATAGGAAACTCTTTGATGTGTTTTTGAGAGCAGTTCATTAAGTAAAAGGCTTCTGGTATGGTATGTCTTTAGAGGTCCAGCAGAGCTCTTTATCCGCAAAAGGGCTGTCAGCATCTCCATCCAAGGCCCTTCGTATGGAAGGGGCATTAACAAAGAACAGAGCAACTCTGTGGGCTTGTCCCTTTTCTCTAGGTGGAGGGAGAGGGTGGGTTGAAACTGCTCTTTCCTGGCCAGATGTCACCCATCATCACCAAGTGAAAGCCTGCATTCTTGGGAATGAATGGGACTGCGATTCATTTT